TTTCGGTCTCGGTAACCATAATAAGCGTTTTTTCAATTTCTTCTATGATCTATGCGATTAAACTTCATTATTATTCACTATTTTATGAATTAATTAAATTTTTAAACTTTCTTATTAGTTTGTGTACCAGTAATAGTAGTAATTTAAATTTTTTGGAAAATAAATGAATATATCTGGTTTAAAGCATATTTTTTAAATGATTTTATTTAAAGTTGCATCCTGTGATTATGTAATTATTAGAAAAAAATTATTGAGACTATTTATTATTAAATAATCAATATAAAATTTAGTAATTGTATACACGCAATATTTTTTCAATTTGCTAATACTTTATACCAAATTTCTGTCAATAATAACGATGTATATTATTTACTCAACAAAATTACCTTTTTAAAAAAAGGAAAAAAGGCGCCAAGTGTGCGTGTTGGCCTCACAAAAAGCCGTTACATATTATTACAGTATACAAAAAATGAAATGAAATCTTTGTAGATTGCGCCAATATTGTGAAAGAAATATATTTTCTTTTTTTTGCCATATATATATCATATACTTTATTTCAAAAAAGTAAAAGTACAAAAAACTTGGCGTTTACTCGTAGTTTTTAAATACCAAGATGCACCATAAAGTTCAATGAAATTTTTTTAAATTAAATGCAAATAAAACAATTACGAGTTATTATTGTTTCTAAGAAGTAATTTCTTTTTTTATTAAATCTAATTTTAAAGAATTTTCTAAAAATTTTTTTTAATTCATACAATATTACATCACACAATATTCCGATAACAATATGGAAGTATTATTATACTTCTAACTTCTTTCCCCTTTCGTTACTACATGCGAATATAGTGTCCAATCGATCCTCGTATAGTTTAAGGCCCGGTATTTTATCACCTGGTTAACTTGTGATTAGGCGTAACTTGATGTTTTATCCAATGGGCTTTACCTGTGATGAAACATCAGATTAAGCACAAGTTAATCAGATATTGAAAAAGGATCTGACATATCTTATGCGTTAGAAATTGTATCTGACATATTACAAAATTCGAGAGTCTCGACGAGATTCTCGGTATCATCGAGACTCTCGGTATAAAAAGTCTCGTATCGGTCTCGAATTCGGACTTTAAGTCTCGTCTCGGTCTCGTCTCGGTCTCGTCTCGTCTCGGTCTCGTCTCGGTCTCGGCACGATACTCGAGACTAGTCTCGGTATCGTCCGAAACACTACTCGGGTGCTTCTATATGATGCGTGTGAATTTATATACTACGTATGTAAATTCTTAAATGCACGCCGAAATTTTTTCAGACTTATAACGCAAACTCTAATAAACTACCGCAGTACTATCACGAGTTAAATTGACTAACAATCTAACAATTTTAATGATCACAGCATCTTGGATCTTAATAATGTTGAATAATATATTAAAAACCTGTAAATAATTAATTTATATTGCAAAAAATATTATCTCCGCCAGAACGAGTCAAACCCGGATCTTTGGGTACGGAATGCCAGGTTCAACTCTCGGCCAAGGTAATATTTTTCGCAATATAAATTCATTATTGGCATATTTTTAATGTCATTTAACATTATTAAGATTCATGATGCTACGAGCACCAGAATTGTTAGAAGCACCCGAGGTCTTTATCTCGAGTATCTTTATATGTAGCTTGATCGTTAAGGCATGTTCTCATCAATATTAATTAGTTTAAACTTTCACGATCCAATAAAATTTGATATTTTTTGTTTGTACAGTAATATTTTTCTATATATTGGTTTAATGAATAATTTTTTTTTATCTTTCTTATTAATGTATTATAAAATATGTTCGGCTAAGACAATTTAATCAACTCTATAGAATATTTTAAAAATCGTATTATAATGTGTGTGTATGTAAAATGATTTTTTCCTAGAAGGATAGATAAAAGATATAGAGTAGGTACATATATCTTTTATATAGGATCATATTAATAACAACGCGAATAATAAAAATTGCATAACACCTAAAATTTTTACAGTATTTCACCGAAATTTTTTTTCTTTATTTAAATAAGATATTAGAAATTGTGTATTTGGCACAAGGTGTTTATGTTTAACACAGTATCGAAAGGATTAAGGCGAAACGCAACGTGTTATCTGTATGTCCTCTTACGGTACGAACACAAACCAATGCCATAGAGAATCTCGCCCACGGGCAGATCGACATGCGTTATAAAGGGAAGCACTTGGTCCGTTTCTGAGCAACGACCGATCGGCAGTCGACCTTAGAACCGAGGGTGAAATTTTCCGGCTTGACGGTCTCTTCGACGGAAATTTTACCGAGTCGCTTCTTAACGCGGAACGGTGTCGACCGGGGTGATATGATCTCGTAGAGATCGCTAGTCCGTCCTTGAACATCTCCTTTGGAACTGTTGATCTTTTGATCGATGGGAATGGCGATATCTACTTCGACGCAATGATTCTGATTAGGCTTTTTCGGTTGTTCTTTTTCCACTGGCTCGTCGACCAGATCTTTCTTGTTCGTCTCCTCAGACGGAGAGTTGAAGACGCTCGAGGAGCAGCTCTTGGAGTCGCAAATCAACGTCATATCGGGATAATCGTTGGTCTCCTCGGTTTCGGACGGCAAATCTCTAGTAGAGGCTAAAGAGATCGTTCTGACTTCCGGCTTCTGAGGTTTCTCGTCGTCGGCATAGTCTAATGACAAACACTTCTTCTCGAATAAAGCTGGTCCGGGTGATTTCTGATTTTCGATTTCCGTCTCATTGCTCTTCTTGTTCTCTTTATTTTCCCGATTTGATGTAACTTTACTCTCTTCTGTAGTCTCCAACGAGTTAATCATCCTCGATGGACGTCGCACGCTATTCTCCCGTTCTACAGAGAGACAAAATTCCTTGTCTGTTAGCAAAATACGCTTCGGCATTCGCACCGGCTTCTGATCGAGATCTAGATCTTTTTCCCAAGACGGGGTCTTTAACAAGCTCTTCACCTTGCGCAGTTCTGTCAGTAAATCCATAGTCTCTTGCGATGGTTCATGGAAGATCCGCCTCTTTGGTCGTCTGATGGATGCATTTGTGTCTGATTCTTGATCGGAATGGTCGATTCCTTCCTGCTTTCTCAGAATAGACTTTACTGCACCTTTTTGACTCTGATCTCGCTTATTCGTGGCAAATTCGCTTACAATTTTGTCAATCAATACATTTTCTTTCTTAGATGTGGTCTTTATGGTTATATCGAGGTCCCCTGGTAAAAGGTTCAGTCTTTCTTGTCGACTTATTGCTCCCGGAGCGGCTTGAGTGCGCCGTTTAAAAGCCGCGTAACTCTCCATAGGTATTTCCTGCATTTTAAATTTGTCTTGCAATTGTTTAAATGTTTCCTTTGTGTACTCTCGACGAGTCGTTAGCGAATCTTCTGACGAGATCTCTCGCGTTCTCCCGATGTTATCGATCATAGTACGAGCGGCAGTGACAAATGAAAGAGCGTCTTTCGCCAGGAGATTATCCGAAGAAATGCCTCGTCTTTCAAATTGATTGTACTTGATTGACCTACGCGTATTCTCGACCATCCTGATGTTCTCAATGATCGATTTTCTGGTTTTTGTCGGAGAAAGAATTCCTCTTTCTAGAATACTATTCCTCAACTCGATCTCACGATCAGGAGATACTCTCGAAATAGGCCTCTTTGTGGGTGAGTTTGACGTGCTATCGTCACTACGAATGATCTCGTGAGAACCCTGAAACATTTTGCGGCGAATCATAGTGGTTGATTCCTTCTTCGTGCGTTGTGCTCTTCCGCGTTGCGGCGAGTTATTCCAACTGTTAGCTTCAACCGGAGAATTCAAACATGTGGTAGAGGAGGATATTATTTCCTCGCTTGTGGTCACTCGACACTTCAATAACTCAGCGGTCACGCTGGTCGGTCGCTTCTCCAACTCCAGCCGCGACTCTGTTCTCTCGTCGCTGTTATCTGGCAACGAGCTCGGCCCTGAATCTAATACATCGTCTAAAGACGCACCATGTAATGTGTTTCGTTCCTTCGATGGTACAGTGGATTCTATATCTTCCGTCTCAAAAGAGTACATCTTCAACAGAAATTCTTTACCCGACCGTCTTCTCTCGAAAGTTGTTGTCGCCATTTGCGGAGTCTCTGCAGCACTTAAAAATTTGTGTTGCATTTCTTCTAAACGAGAAGTAACGGACGTTACTTCTAGTGTTTCGATTGAGTTTTCAACATCTTCTTTGATGGCAATCTGCTCGATATCGTGTCTGATGTTATTCTTTACCCCATCGTGATTCTTCATTGCATCATTCGTCCTTGTCCTCAGTTCGTTACGCGGCGTGTCAAAAATAAATTTGTCTAAAGTTTTGGACGAACCAATCTTATCGAGGAACGGCCTCTCGATGGCTTTGCTGGGTCCGATCTTTTCCAGATAGGGCTTGCCAAGAATCCTCGGTGTCAGCTTCGCCAGGAATGGTCGGTCCTCAGTTTTTGAAATGCCTATCTTTCTTAAGAATGGCCTCTTCTTTTCCTTGTCTTTGGCAATCTCGAAGGAGCGATCACTCAGCCGATCGTTGCTGTAATTCGACGAATTATCACTGCTCTTGGAACGAGCCCGTTTGCTCCGCGTCGCATACGGTGTCAGCGGAGTTCTGGGCGTTCTCGGGGTGAGAGATGGACTGGGTTCCATATTCGGACAGGTCTCATCCAATAATGCCATCGCAGTCGTTAAATCCATACACGCTTTCCGCGGCATCGATACTATTGGTTTTGAAAATTCGCTCTCAATACTGTTATTCCTCGTCGAGTTCAAATCCAGTTTGCTATCCCTACCATCGGTATACGAGCACGAGGGATACGAGCTCCGATCGCCCATCGGCCCCGGTGAGGTATCGATCGTAGGATAATCCTCCAGGTACCAGGGTGTCACGCTTAAATCTTCCGGCCTCGAGGCAGGACTCTGCGGTGTCACTGTACCCTTGCTGACGGCGCCTTTACCGCCTACGGTCTCTTGTGACTGCTGCTGTTGCTGTTGTTGTTGCTCTTGCTGACTCTGCTTCGTGCCACTCGACTGTGCCGTTCCATCGCTAACCGATACTTCGTTCGAAGTGCGGCTGAGAAGCGGCCTGCGATAGCCGGAACAAGTAGCAAAATGTGGCGGCGCCGGCCTCGCAGTTTCCACGATGATGCGACCTTGAGCACAAGGCACTACCGGTTCCCCGTCCGCCGGTGCCTCCTCCGGGGTCAACGGCAGCGCTGCTCCGCGACCGAATTCGATGAACCACAGCTCGTCCCTCAACTCGCATTCTCACTTCTTTTCATTCATGGCTTTATTTAAATAGTGCAATACGTAGTGTAGAACCAGGTCATAGCAGTACTTATACTCCGTCTAGAAAAGAATGTTACACGTGTTTCATATACTTATGTTATATACATATATTTTATACAAGACACAAAATCAAAGTATTTTTCATAAAAAACATATTATAACATACAAACAATATTATATTATAATTTGAGGAACACATAAGATAATTAGAGGATATTGCATTGTAACTTTATAATTATACCATGTTTTCCACAAGCTGGGGTCTGTGTCTGCGTACAGTTTTTACGGCTTGGAAAATGTCAACTTCTCCATGTTGAATGACCTGTTCTATGCACGCGTTAGCCGCACAATAGACCCCACAACGACTTCTGCCATCGGGCGAAACCACAGCTACTGGTCCGTAGTCTGTTCGTTGCCTCCATCTCTCAACCATATTCATGAGTTCAACTAAACTATTTGTGGACGTGGGCACTTTATGACCCATTGGCCAACAAGTCAATTGGAACAGTTGAACGGTCTTCGGTGGCGCTTTCACTCCCGCCATCAATTCCGTCAATGAAACAATTTTCTTATTTATTCTAAAAACCTAAGAAATAATTCATAATAGATAAAAACAAGAAAAATATTATCATCCTACATTTAATACACGTACAGATTTTTTGTGATAAATCAAATAAATATGTGATAGATCAAATAAATATAAATCTAAAAATTGAAAACTTTAGGCGAGTTTTTGTTTTATGAGATTAGGAAATTAATTCTCACCCAGGTTTTTATATTGGTGTAATGATTGTGGCTGATGTGATCAATCGTAAATACGGGTCCATATTTCTTGGAGTGTCTTCCTTCAGGCCAAAAACTAGGAAAATTTGTAGATCCCTGAGGTGGCACGCAGAGAACTACTACCGCAGCGCATTCATAATCGTAAACTAAAGACCAGAATTCACCGCATGTGTGTCGAAGGGGCCATTCCGTTACGATATATTCTCTTGGTTTCGTGTAGCCCTGCGTGGCATAACAGTGAATGAATGTTTTTGGAGGAACGAAGAACTTGGCAACGATTGCAGGAATGTATCTCGGGAAACGCCGACATATATTATACTTTGGTCCACAAAACTTTTTATATTTTCGATATTTATAAATCCGACATTTTTTTTAAATCATCGTTTTGGTATTACATAATAATATAAATATAGATTAGACTTTAAAAGAGATTTGAGTCAGTGCATTTACATAAACGCTAAAACGATTAATTTCAGTTTTAATTATTAGCGTGATGCACTTAACATAGATTTCGTTAAAAGCTTATATTCAAATTTTAAAAATGCAGATTTCGCGAGCGATGTAAGAGGAGGTAAAGACAAACCAGTTAAGCGAGGTGATTTATTTTAATGACTTACATCCACAAAGACAGCGTTGATATAGTCCGTGAAACTGTTGCCCTGAAAACTGGTGAGGTACGGTCGAAAGTTGTCCGCTGTAACAAAGGAGGAGATTGATTTGTATAGCGTGGAAAAGCTTTTGTCGAAATTGTCGATCGTTCGAGTTGAAACTCACGTGGAACTACCAGGACGTCTCTATTCTTTTCCCTGTTATCGGCCCTGTGTCCACCGGCGCAATCGCCAATCGTGAAACGCGGCGTCTGCTTGCAAATTTGCTGATACTCTCGTTGGTATTCGTTCATCTTAATTATCGGGTTTTTTATACTTTTCTGCTTTAGACGTTGCGATAATTCAGCTACGGGAAACCACGATGTACCGCACACGACGAATTCCTCGAGCGTGTCGTATACGAATTTGTACTGTTCCTATTATATTTGAATGTCACATGTATCGAAATATAAGATATTAAAGTCATCAAATTATAACATTAATAATAAATAAGAAAGATGTAAGAAAAAAATTAAAGAAACCTTATTTGAGAACAAATAATGGAAATGATTCGTTGAAAATAGAAATTTTTGGCGCAAATCTTTTTCGAGAAACAAGAACTTTAAACAAAAAAAATATAGAAATTAGAATTCTTTATAGAGTAGGCTCGCCGAAGAATGCGTACTTTTTCTTTGAGACAATAGTTGCTTTCCATTTATACCGATTCTCAGATAATTTTCACTTGTGACATCATAACTCAGTTGAATGCGCGTTCCTTTTGCATTCTGAGAAGTAAGATTCAACTGAGTTTTTACTTACAAACTGCAAAAAATCGAGACCATATGCTTAACTGAGTCTTACAGACTCACTTTGAAAGTGAGATTATGAACCTGTGTTGTTATTTATTACTTTTATCAAAGTAAGCAAGTAGTGACGTCATTAATCTGAGTATTTCATACTCAGTTCACTTCAGACTCAGTCAGTTTCATTTGTGTGTAAATGAAAAACAACTTATATAACCTATACAAGAATCTGAGTTCGGACAGTAAAATGATGCTTAGATTATTTTTTTACACTTTAAATTAAAAGTTTATCAAGTATCAATGTAATACTATGATTCGTTTTTACAGGAGATTAATTTTACTAAGAAAAGGAAAATGCGAACTATTGAGCGAGTGTCTTTTCAAGAATTCGCATTAATTCGGAATTTTCACTTTTTACTTTTAATATTATATAACTACATATATAAAAATTATTACAGATATTAAATGAATCATATTAAATGAATCATTAAATACGAAGCAGATATACATGCACACATGGTAGAAATACAAAGATATGCTCATGCGCATGACCAATCAGATTTCTGTTCTTGCTTACGTCACAACGAGTGGCAATTTTAAAAATACGAGCAGCATCATCAAAATGTTTAGAACATATCCTACCTATACAAACGAAAATGTCAAATTAACTAAAATTATTAATTAAATACGACAGTATATAATTTTTATAACAAGAATTGTACAACTTACCACTTTGAACATTTACACTGATTTACACTGAAATTTACTGATTTGTTGCATATATACGAAATAATAATGATTTAACATTATTATTCTAAACATCTAGTGTGCATGTGTTGTTAAATCATTATTACGTATATATGCGACAAAAGGATATATATTTCATGAATATTCACTTTGAACTAGCACCTTCAATGATATATCAGTTTGTTTTCTAACGTCGAAAGTGGCGGTTGCATTGCATTACCTTCAGAATTTAATGTACTTTTATTATTGTAATGTACTACACTGCGCTTGTCAACTATTTTGATACCACTCTTATTTAGGGCAACATTATTGTCGACAAGCTTTGCATTAGTCACATCCAAGATTATAGCACTGGCATCAAGAACTTTCAATGTACTCGGACCTAATGTCTTTATATTATTATCGTTTTATGGTATTTCCTCCTCCATCCAAATTGAACACCATTTTGATCAGTTACTTCTAAATTATGTACCGGCCAAATATATAAATATTTAAATAATTTCAATCATTTTTTTCTCTCTCAGAAATTATGTTTATTAGCGTATTTGATTATTGATTATATGTAATAGATTTTATTGATGTAATGTTATTACGAAATTGATTATCAGAACAATCCTTCTTCACAATTAATATTAATTATTAATTAGAATAATAATTTGTAAACGTATACTTATGAAGATATACGTGATTGAAAACTTGTTAACTTACACTCCAAAATCTTGAATCAAATATAATGTTCTAGGTGAGAGATCAAACTATAATAGCTTTTTGTATTATTATTGAAAGATAATGAAATGAAAATGAATATGTATATAAAAAATACTATTATACATATTACCATGAAAAATGACTCATATATATTATTGAAGGTGCCATTTCAAAGTAAACATACATAAAGTGTATATACTTTTGCATCATATATACGTAATAATAATGATTTAATATTACTATTATAAACATCTAGTGTATATTTTTATAACAAGAATTGTACAACTTACCACTTTGAACATTTACACTATCTTTTCCGCACGCTTTACGCCACGTGCAGTACGCCATGGACGCTATGATAAATTACGACCGATAACCACCGATTGCACCCGAATCAGAACCGACCAATCAACGCGTACCCGAATATGACGTAGGCAATAACATGCGCAAGCTGAACGAGTTTTAGAAAATTGATGAGCATACCCTTGTATTTCTACCATGCATGCACACAATATAAATAGTACGGATTTACTAAGCAACGATTCAATGTAGAAATCGATTAATTTATCCTTGAAAAATATAGAAAGAAAACAATCAAAATCACAAAATTTAAAATGTCTCCTTTATCGCTGCAACAATCACAACAATTTTTGTATACACTCAGCAAACCAAAAAGGCACATTCTGTATGAAATATAGATCTTATGATCAAATAATTTCGTCATAAAGTTCAGTGCAAACTCTTGAGCGATGCGCACTTTTAGACGATCTTACTCTATAAATCAAAATTAAAACTTTCAACTTAATTGACGCATACTCTTATATTATTACTTAATTATTTGTTTATATTTAATTGCTGTTCTACCAAATTTTCTATGAGCCCTCTTCTGCTTTGCCTTAACTTCTTCAAGTAACCAAACACGTCGAACGCGTCTTCCTCTTCGGCTAGCTCCATGTTTGCATCGATCGCTAAATATACTCCCGATCGTCCGCCACCATCACTTTATGTCACAAACAAACAAATTTATTATCTCATTAGTGAGAGCGGCTTGTTACTTGCTTTTACAAAAATAATCAACTTGCAACACAAGTATCCTTACTTGCAGTGAACTACCATAGGACCGGATTCGTTCTTTATAATTGATCCCACTACGGCTCGTACACGCCGTCTAAATTCCAGTACCGCGTTTCCGAAAGGACACGTGTGTGAGTGCCATTCTGTGTAATGAAATTGCAACAACGTCCTTTCTTCCGTAATCTCCTGAAAACATTTTCGCATACAGAGTCAACGATCTTTTTTCACAAGAACAATCATTTTCATCTCTTATTTATCTCCTATACTTTGCGTTTCATTACCATTCTCTATTATCCTCATCGAATCGTTTGAAATATGTACATAAGATTAAAATGTATCAATCGCTTTTTAACAAATTAGCGATGCGCGATCGCGAAGTGAACTTGCCGATAGATTATTTTCTGGAGATGAGATTCTTCTACGGTATTGCTATCCCAACAATGCCGCATTAAACTTGACAATTGTAGTTGCATCTTGCGCTGCCCGGCCCGCGTTGCACGTCGGAGTGTTTTGTAATCTCTCAGCTTGCTTTGCTATTCCCGGAATGGGGTTACGAGGCTCCCTTTTTCTACATTAAATTTCGCTCAGTAAATTTTAAAAGTAATTACTTTGTTGCGTGTACCGTTCAATAGAGGAGTATACTCGATAGAACCTCTTTATAGTCCACCTCTTTACAGTTACGACCTCTCAATAGTCCACAGTCGAACTCCGTATACGCACACATTTGTACCCCACGTGATGCGTTTCTATGACAACTGCTTGCGCAGTAAACAATGCGCAGTTGTCTACTTAGACGCACTCAGGTTCATATTTTTAGCGCTCAATTGTAACCTTTGGGGATAGTCTACCACTTATATTATATATTAATTACTTTGCATAATAGTTAGTTGCTTAATTATTTTTAAGTGTAAACATCAAAAGAGGAAGTGTATAATAATGAGCAACAGATAATTGAGGAGATTGCTTCCGAATAAAAAATTAACGATGTGGCAAGAAAATATGGTATCTCATCAAGTTGTATGTCAAAAGCTTTCTTATTAAAATAAGAAATCTTGTGTTAGTCACATCTCAACAAAATAAATAGTTATCAAAACATTTCTCTCAGTGAGTGCTATGTACATATGTCTTAAGAAGGCTACTTACGGTTCTGCTTTAGGACAGAGCTAAAACAACCTCTTTATTGTCACATTTAGTCACGAGCGTGTGACTATAAAGAGGTCCTACTGTAGTTTCATACGATTCATTAACGATCTCATATCAAAACGTGTTGATTGCGAAACAAACAAGAGACTAAATTCATCAGTTTTACGCGTTGGCAATTGTTTCATGATGAGACTGGCTACGTTCAGCAAGCTCAACTTGTTTCCAACATGTTGCGACAACCGTTGAGTGAGCGGTTACCAATTGCTGAACGATTCTATTTTCTTAAGTCACGTGATTTATATTATCTGTTTATTGTATGACTTTATTTAGGTTAATTTGTCATTTTCATCGTTTGTATTGTTTATTCGGTGAACATGGATTTATTACATTTAATATTAATTGCTGCCGATGATGCGGATGATGTGAGAGGTATAAAATGTGTTTATTTAGGTTGTGTTGCTTATACGTTTTACAACCGACAACATGTTGAGCTCAGGTAGCAGTCTTAAAATATGATAGAAAAAATGGCATCCGCTTAATAAACACTAGAGTCCTATACAGGGTGAATCAGAAAAAACGTTTGTCCTTAAAATGACGTATTCCTGAGATGATTTTAAAACATTTTTTCCTTTGTCAAAATTTTATCCGAAGCATAGATTTTGAATTATAAACTAAAATAGTTAGCGAATTATGGATCGCGTACGGAAGGCAGGCAAGGGCGGCGCAACTCATCGGTCAACGCGGACGCCGGATTGCGATCAGCTGTTCGCTACGTACGAAACGCGTGTTACGATAATACGCGCGTATCTCCTCTCTCTCTCTCTCTCTCTCTCTCTCTCTCTCTCTC